CAATGACCAGGAGGGCGCAGCAGTCTTACTTTCTTATCAGTTGGGATCTGAATCACTTCGAATTTGAGGTTATGCGCCTCTCTTAATCAATAACCAACTGGCACGGCGAGCAATGTGCATTAAATGTGAGAATCCACAATAAAAATTATTATTATTGCCGGGTTCTTTCCTCTGTGACCCTTCACTCGTGTGTAAGCCTGCCATTACCTACCCTATCTAAGTTAATGTTCGTAGTATGAATAACCAAGGCCGTTTATTCCATATCCAAAAATCCGTGTCATTGTTCAACTGGCCACATCACCATTCATTCCCTTATTCTCTCCATTCCCAATCAGCACCCTCTGCTGTAGCTCAAATCCAATTCCGCAAACCTCTTTTCTCCTTCGCGCGTACATCCCATATAGTCCTAACCATATCGTCCTATCTCTACAATCCGTTGCTCCAAACCATTCACTCGCTCTACAGTTCGGCATATATCTATTCAGCTCCTCCTTAGTTGCTCTTATCCAAGGTTTTGGTATCGGCCAATCCGAGAAGTGCATATATTTTGCTTCTGCCAATATCTTGTTGGGATCCCAAACATCTTTCGAATTACCCAAATATTCTTTATGTGATTTGCGGCGAAACTCTCCCGAAAGAAGATTATAAGGGCGAGACGGCATAGCCAAAAGATGAGGAGCGAACATAGTATTCAAAATATCCATATCATATTCGTTAGGCCCGGCATGCTTTACAGCAGATTCGAGTTTCTGAAACAGATTGGTCGAAGGATGTAGTAGTAATAGTTGGGAGGAATATGCCCAATTTGTCGGTGGCCCAAAATAGGTATATGGCATAGCCACTGGGGCAGAAGGTAGGAGAAATAATTCATCCATATTCCGAATATACAGAGCATCGGAGTCGAGATGTAAAACTCGATCGTATTGTGTGAGGTTGAATGCGAGAAGTTTGGTAAATGAATCTGCCCATGTTGATTGTTCAGTGTTATTTTGATGTAGAACTTCTACGGGTTGAAGCTTAACGTAGTAATTGGTCTGCGCCTGCTTTAATAGCCTGGCAATGGGTGTGAGAGGTTTGGAGGGGATGGCATTATCGGTCTCTTCAAGGGACCAATGGGAAGGATATAACATCAATCGTTGAGCACGACTACCGATTGTCTCAACCTGAGACCAGAGCATAAGAGCACTACACAGGTATTCGGGAGATGTGACATATTGAACATATGCGAATTTGAACCAGTCAATCGTAGGATCCTCAACCGTCGTTATCGGCCCTGGCATAGGTGGTAATGGATCAGGATCATGGTTATGAAGGAGTACGAATCGAATGACTAAAAGTATGAGTAAGAATATCAGAAACACCTGAACTGTCGTCGTCGATATCAAAACTCGCAATCGGCGAGTATAAAAGCGAAAGCCTGCCATACAGACGTTCGAATATAAAAAAAAGATAACCTCTCCATTTTTGAATCTTGATCCTTTACTTATTACCTAGTAGGTATTTGTTAATTCTCGATTAACAAGTTGTCCGATAAACACCAAGACGCCAAGTACTCTTGGCTCCCTGTTAAGACGGATAAACGGCTCAACCTGGACCGAAAAATCACGTGCCATTGATCAATAACCTTACTCTCCGTGCTCCGTATGGCAATCAATATTTCATTCACCAACCAATCAAAGGTTGAACCAACCGAACCTCCACCCGGACATCAACTCAACCTGACCATCCAGAGACGACGGCGACATCTTTCGTTCTGGTTCATGATAAAATGTCAATGTTTAAAGATGGTAGGGTTTTGCTGCAACGCAACAGTTGTATTGTTGGTTTGAAGCTTCTCATCGACTTGATTTAAGGGAGACCCCCTCATAAAGGGGCTTATCTAGAAACACTTGAAATTCTGTTGCATTTATTTCATTGGGTTGATGTTTTCAAGTGAGCCCTCGTGGCGTTCAGGCACGGAAAAGTTTATCCCTGTCTACATACACCTGTAACTTGTCGCATTTTTGGTATTCTTGCTATCTTAAAAGGGACATTCTACCCATCATTAAGCTTAAGGTGTCAGATGCTATCTTTCTACTTCAATACTCTTCCCTATCTCAATATCAAATATGCACTACTCAATATCAGATTTGTGGCGATGTTCATCGTTTGATCTGGCGAGTCTTCCATCAGAACTTCGAATTTCTATTTTTGAGGAGTATTTCACATCCAAGTTTTCACATCCATGGAATGGCAAAACCCCATCCTTGATAAAAGCTCTTCGAGGGAACCCTATATTGTACCATGAGGCTTTGAACATTTTCTATCTCAACGCAACTTTTGCACTTACAGTCAATAATGCAAATCGTCTCATGACTCGCATGACACCCAAACTGCTACAAACAATTCGTTCAATAAGATTGGAGCTTAAGTATGCAGAACCTCCCTCACTCTACTGTTGTAACCGTTCTTCAAACCCATGATATTAGGACCTCAAATTTTCGAATCTGAGTAGTTATTATCTACTAATACACTATAGGACGATACCTAAGCACGACTATCGAAGGCGGCCTGTACTACAAACTATACCATTTACACAGAAAGCAAAAGATCATCCGATATGGCTCGCCTCCAACCTTTTTAAAATTGAACTTGATATCAGAGAAATGAGACAAATAGAGGCTATTGAATTTGTCAAAGAGTGTATACTTCGATTTCCTCTCTTACACACTTTGATTATTCATCTTACCCCCGGAGTTACCTATGAACCACCTCTTATTGTCAGTATTAACGGCAAACTCAAAACGAGACTCATCCACCCAACAACCATAGATAGCTTTATATCCGCCAACAAATTCTCTCTTCCAATACCGGTTATCAATTTATCAACCAATATACGCTGTGTTGAGATACCTTCATACCCGGATGCTTTAAGTTATAAATGGACAGCAGCAGGCCAAAGCCTTACATGAACAGATAAAGATTATATTCGAAGCATTGTTAGACCAAAAGGCCCGTTTCCCGCCTGGGCAATGATCAGTATCCTCACCAGGACCCATCAATGGAAGATTCTGGCGTATAATCATACTAATTTCTTAGGCCTTAATCCTCGTTTTTGGTTTGGCTTTTGTACCGATTATCTATGTACTTATACTACAATTCGGTCTACAACACTTCAAAATAGAGCAAGGCCGAACCCCGATCTGTTAAATCTGCATACGCAGAGAATAGAGCATATGCATAGGGCCCGGCTCTTTAACTATGGCCAACGATTGGGTCAACGATTCGATCAACAAACTGCATATTCCCTTCGAAGGTTTTACGAGCCACACCAGAATATTCGCTTGAGTGCGCTTTTTCATCCTAAGGCAACTGTCGATTCACTCACTATACACACTTGATACATTCGATACTCTCCAGCTTGGCACACTTGGAATTTTCTATCTTTTCACCCTCTATTATTTACCATACTCTCATATATATTATCATGGCAGAATATGTATGATATGTATATCGGATTTAGGGTCCGGTATACCGTTGTATGGCGTACTATGAATGCATCTTGGGGTTGTCAAAGTCGAAGATGAATCATGGAATATTCCCACTCTATATCCTCTGGATTATACGGTTCTAGTGTGCATCCTCTACATTTTATACACCCGCATCTATATTGAACACATTATCGAATAATGTCGAGGGGACTTTTAATCCCATCACTCAATCTGTTACGATTACTGTCTGCTAACTTGTCAGACGTATACCTACCTCACTGGCAAGGGTACGATGAGAGATTTGAACGATTTTAGCACCCCGGTGTTACCAGTCGTTAATGGGATATGAGCATGCACGAGCATGGTTTACCACTTGCGCCGTTTGTGCATCCATTCGGCATCGATATCAACGTCTCAGCTTCCAGGGTTCAGGAAGACATAGCGAACAAGAAAAGAAAATCATACCCATGCACACTTCAGAATAGAGAGAACCTTGGGACTTTGTACCGGAATTGGAGAACGAAGATGGAAGGATTTATATACTCATCGTCAATGAAATGAATGATCAGAAGATTTTCACTCTGCTACAGTTCAGGACGCTTTGTACAATATTATTTGACGCTTCAGGTTACCTTGAGATGCGCGAGTAGTCACGAGAAAATATCGAATATGTCAAGCTGTTTATTGATAACCTGAAGGAGACTTGGGAGGGAAGGGAAATTGAGAATTGTTTTAGAATGGACTCGGATGATTGGGGCTACGAGCATGGGGTGGTGAGAGTTGGGATGCAACGTTTAGGATTATGTTATGTTATGTATGTGTAATAATGATATAAATACCCAGACCAAAAACACCAGGAATTTGATATGTGAAATTGGAGAAAACTCGTGAGATTATATATCTATGTAGGTACCTATGCAAAAGTAAATTTGTATAAATTTGCGAGTTACTGATTACTTCATTATTAGATTCAATCACATCCCATCATATCTCACTTTGTATAGGTATAGAAAAATCCCTTGAAATCGAATATATATATACACAGGCTGTACCTACCTAGATACCTATACTTACTTAGGTACCTAGTAATTAAAGTACTAACCCACGCACCGCACCTCCTTTCCTCCTACCTAATATCTATCTGGTTTCTTAGATAGATATGTAGATAGGTAAATTACGAAGAGTTTTTTTCCCGTGAGGCTGGCGATGCGATATGATGTGATGCGATGAGAGTTGGGAATTAACTAAAGTAAATATGAATAATCTAATCGAAAAGAATAAAGTATTATATTAATAGGTATGAATAATAAAAACAGGTATAGAATAAAATAAATACATACCTACCTACCTATATAAATTTTCCCCCCCTCATCCCTCATTCCTTCCCTCCTTCCCTCCCAAATCCCAAATCCCATTCCCCACCCACCCATCATACCTTATCATCCCTCCCACATCCCCTCTCCAACCAAATAAAACCCACAAAACCATCCCCCACCACCACAAACCCAACAAAATCCATCCAAAAATCCATCCCTCGTGGCGCAATTGGCTAGCGCGTTCGACTGTTATCACTCTCTTCTCATTCTTAAACCGATGTAGAAGACGAAATTCCAAATCGAGAGGTTGGTGGTTCAAGCCCACCCGAGGGAGATTTATTCTCATTTTTTATTTATTTATTTTTTTTATTTTGGATGTGGTGTTTTGAGGGGAGGGGTTATGTTTTTGGGAGGTGTTTTTTTGAGAAGGGAAAAGGGAGGAAGGATAATGAGTGGGGGATTTTCTATTTTTTATGTGGAACCAGAACCACCAGTTTGGCGGTTCAAGCCCACCCGACCCGACTAGACTCGAACTTGTCAAAGTATACAGGTAGGTTCGTGTAAATAAGATGGATGAATGATGGATGATGGATGAATGATGGATGATGGATGAATGATGGATGATGGATGAATGATAATTAAGAGTTTTTGATATATATGTTTTATCTATTAACTATCTATCTAATACCTACCTAGGTATCTAGTACCTATCTATCTATCATCCATACACATCCATATCTAGGTACCTACCTACCTACCAATCTATAAACAAACCCCCAAATAAAGTCTCCCTCCCTATTTTCTTCCAACATTCAACTTTCCACTTTCCACCTTCCATATAACATACATACCAAATGACCTAGGTATTTCCGAGATATATATATATGCCTTGACCAAGGGGTAGAAATATTAATTTAATTTAGTTTAGACGATTCCTACCTATGTAGGGTAGCTTAGCGTACGCGTCCGCGGGGCGGTAGTGGTAGTGGTAGGTAGAATAGTAGCTAGAAGACAGCTTCACTATATTCCACCACTACCACTACCACTACCACCATAATCCAATCCAATCCGATGCTTCCATCATACACCTGCTCGAAGTCATACATACCTATACTCTTGACAAGAAAGTATGTAAATCCATCTAGACACCGACACCCAATCAATCAAGTATCTTATCTACTTCTTTCTATCCTCTTAGAGACCTACTGTACATACCTATACCTATATACCTACCTATATATATATATACGTCTTATAAAAAAACTCGCAATGAATTAGATGTATAAATTCTAGAGATACATACTAAGTACATACATAGCACCCACGCACCCACGCACCCATCTATTTCTAAATTTCTCTCCTTCTATGCATCTTATCCGTTCATCCGTTCATCCGTTTCCACAACCTTTGTTTGTTCATGGATAGGGATATGATGTGATATGATATGCATATCATCACATCATCAATCCAGCGATCCGATCCGATCCGATCCAATTCACTCCCTCACACCCCTCCACATCACACATCACACAGAGCACCCAACACGAAACACCATCCATCATTCTACATGCCCCCAAAAAATAATCTACAATTCCTTCGTAATCCTTGGTCTATCATCCCTCCTGTTTCCCACTCCCACTCCCACCCCCACTCCCAATCCCATGACGCCTCCTTGCTCTCCCTCCCTCTCAATCTCTCTCTCCACCATCTCGATACTACTCAAACTTGGAAACCTCTTACTGAAATCACTAAGATACTCTTCCTTTTCCTGAGATGTCATATCCGGTCTGGGTTGAATAGCAGGCCCCCCTCTACTAACCAAGTATGATGGTTTAGGCGGCGAATTATGAATACCAATACTACCCCCCGTATTCATATTATTGAGATGTGTAGGTTTAGGTGGAGCATTTGGTCTTGGTCCCGTTTTAGCAATTGGTAATTGAGGTTGAGGGGGAGTTTGTTGAGGGCGAGGTTTGATATAATTGAGATCCGAAGAAGGGACAGAAGGTTGAGTCGATTTTCGGATTACGGAAGGTTTGATGTATGGGTTCCCGGTTGGTAATGGGTTGGGCTGACCTGGTATATCTGTGTATCTTCCATAACCTTCTGCTGTTTTCTTTGGAGAAGGTTGTTGACTATTTTCATCTAGGAGACTTTTTACTTTGTGTTGAATACTTGCAGCTCGAGTGACACCACCAATACTCTTTGGGGCTGGTGCACCACCACGATCTGCAAGTCGTTTCCGATATTCGGCTGCTGCATCAGCAACACGTTTTTCTTCAATTGATAACTTTCGTCGCTCAACTTCTCGTCTTTGTTCTGGTGTCATGTTATCATCTGTCGTTCCATCATCACTTCTACCATCGGTTGCCTCAGATCCAGCTATTGGTGTTAGATCACGTCGGTCAAGATCATGCAAAGGACTTGGGGTTCTAGGACCAGGTGGAGCACTGGCATTATTTTCAAATCTCTTGAAAGCATCTCCAAACTTGCCAGCGAGTAGATTTTTGGTTCCCGATAACGACATCGATGGCATACTGGAACGTTTGGACTGCTTTGAGCCACTACTGCGACGTCTATCTTTCTTGGTCTTTTCCTGATCTTCCATTGATTTGAGAAAGTCAACATTCGATTGTAAATCATCGTCATTTAGATCTGTAACGGCAAAATCTCTCAAATACGATGGGCTTCTCTGTGAATCAATTGAAGGGCGACCTTCCTTTTCTCGAAGGAAATCCATGTTGGATTCCAAGTATATACTAGATGGACGCGATCGAGTCAAACCCGATTGGGTTCGAGGAATTGAGCTTTCGAGAACTTCATTGCTAGGTCTACTCATTTCGAGTGATGGTCTAGATGATGACGGGTGTCTGGCATGATTGGATGTTGGATTGTATGAAGAATTTCGAGTTAACCCAGGATTCACTGGTAAGAATTCCTGTGGTTCTAGAGTCGGTGTCCTAGATGGGGTTGCAACTTGGTTTCGTGGTAAACTAGCTGACCGATGATGGTCAGATGGAAGAAGACGTGGCGAAGCAGTGAAAGTAGGTGGCCGTGTATTTGAAGGTGGTGGAGTTGGTGTCGTCATTGTACCTTGTGATACATATGTGGATGGTTTCACACCAGGGTGAGTAGGTGTGGGTTGATATATCAAGTTTGACGGTACATCCGATGTCTGAAGTTCTAGTGGATTGCTGGATAGAATTTGTTGCGCGCGAGATGGCTTGGTCATCGAAGCTGATGACCCTGGCCGGATTGACATGGCAAATGCATCATCAGCCAATCTTTCTGTAACTCGTTTGCTAACAGGTTGTGACGGCTGTGAGGCTGATCCGAAGTCAAATTTGCCTCCATCATGCAATAATGAGAACTGATCTAAACTTGGAAATCGATTGGAAATTTCGTCCACAACAGGAGCAGGAGTTTTTGAATCCAAAGCGGCAAATGGATCACTAGCTGTGCCCCTCATCGGAGACGGACTAGGCTTTGTGGGATGTGGCTGTGAACTGGCCGTAGGTCTACCCCTTCGCATTGGGACGACATCAGGAATAATCGTTTGATGTTGCGTTGGCGGCGCAAAAACCGCTCCCACAATTGGAGGTGATGCGGGAGATTCGGTGGTTGGTAATTGCTGATGTCGCCGCGATTCTGATTGAGTTCTTCCAGCATATATCTAGTATGGTGAGTTTTTGATTGGTTGGAGGGAAGTGTATAAGAACATACATCTTTGATCGGAACCTCAATCCCTTGCATGAGACATGATTCCCGTAAAACCTGATATATATTGGGACGAGATGTTGGTTTCTCTTTCAACATGGATGCTAAACTTTGTTAGCATATATTCTTCCTATGCAAAGCGTAGCATTCAATGTACCTATTAAATTTTTAAGGGGATCAGAAAATATTGGATATGATGGGAATTTAAAGCTTGCATTTAGAATAGCAAGTTGTCCCTGAGCCTCGAACGGTGTGGTATAATAGCACAGCTTATATAGCAGCACACCTAATGCCCAAATGTCCGATTTCTCATCAATTGGTAGTTTCCTGTATACATCTATCATTTCAGGACTCCTATATTGTAATGTTGTATGTTTCTGGACATCATCTTCGATCAATCTGCATTCAGCAGCAGTCGTAGCGGCAGGTCGAGGAGGTGCGGTGGAACCAAAGTCGCAGAGTTTAAATCTTCGAGAGGGGCCAGTGGAAGTTATGAGAACATTCTCGACTTTGAGATCTCGATGTAAAAGGGGAGGTTTGAGGTAGTGCATGCAAGCCACTCCTTCTGCCACGTCTGAGAATATCTTCAGAATTTCTGGTTCGGTCAACCTGTTTTGAAGTCGAGTATTCATGAAATCGATCAAACCGCCCCCATTACAGAATTCCATAAGTAAGAATACCTCGTATCCTCCCCCCTTCAGCTGTGACGCATGTGAATCGTAATATGTAACGATTGGGCGGTGTCCCTTTAACTTCTTCATCGTTTCTACCTCGGTTCTCATATTTGCCAAATGTTCCTTATCGGGGACTGCGACTCGTTTCAATACAGCAATATCTGTCCCATCGATGGGTTTTGGCATTTTAACAAGATAGACATGGGCAAAACCTCCCTCCGAGAAGTACTTCTGAATAACGACCTTATGACTTCCTACTTGTATTTTTGTTCCTGGAGCAAAAGTTCCAGCTGGTGCCCCAGGATCAGTTATTGGTACAGGTCCCCCATAGACTGCAGGCCGAGGGGCGGTCGCTGGCACATTGTAAGATGCCATGGTTGATTTGGCAGATGTCGAGCAAGATGAGGGCAGTGTAGAGCTAGAATTGAAAGTTGTCACCGCATTGAGTGAATTGAATCGGATTGTAGATGACTCAAACCATTAAAATGATAGAAATGAAGGTTTACAAGATGCTTAAAGGTTGTTCAGAAGTTCGATGAGCACCTAGGAGATTCAACGGTCAACGTTCAACGTATATTCAAGCTACTTTGACAGTAGAGGTAGAGTTTCGAGAACGATGAACGGGGCATATCCAGGCTGGCATTGATGCCATGGTTTAGCGTTGATGGTAAGCTGACCGCCCTTTATTCTGCCAACTGCGGGCCACCCACCGATCGACCAATAGAAAGGAGAAGGGAACGTGTCTCACTGTAAATCACCTGCTTCTCTGTATGGAATTCAGACTCAGATTCGGATATCATAGAGAGAGAAAAGGAGCGTGTGAACACAGTAGTAGTCATCGTTTCATTATATCAAGTGATTCAATGACAAATGATGGAGATGGAGTGATTTTGCGAGTAGAACCATTCATCTCATATCAATGATCATGAAGATATAAACTTTT